GATTAACATTTAATGTGTTTATTGTTACACCATTGATCTATGTGTGGCTACACTGCAGTGGAAATAATGAGATTACATTCAAATCAATGGAGCTTTCTGCGTCTACTGTGAGGAGCCGTATATTTTATTAATAAATACTAGTACGGGGCCCCCTGGAGCACGGCTCAGTCGTTCACATGTCTGCTGGCCTTCGGTAAGTCAGATACCCTGTGAGCCGGGTGAGGTCCTGTGTGAGACCAAATATATAACAGCTATGCTACAAGCTAAGCTACAGTCTATGGAGCAACCCCACGTTGCAGTCAGACAGATATGTTTTATCCTTAAACTTCTGTTTGTTTTGGAATAACACTAAATCCGCCATCAAATTGATTTCACTTAGCAGAAATGAAATGATCCATATTCGGGCGCTCTGGTGTCTATTCGTTTTTTGTTGTTGCGTATGGTTGTGCCATTTCTCTCTCGTTTCTTTGAGATGTCTTCTGTTTTTGAGCCGTGTGAAGTAAGGACGGCTGGCAGTCGGTAACACAACTTATTTTCCCTGTCTCTCCTTTTGCTGCAGCCAAAAACGGCAAAAATGTTGAACATGTTTATGCGGTCCCGGGTGCACGCCACTATCATACAGCGTTTGCTTGTCCTCCAGTATGGCGGATGCCCCGCGAGGTCGAGGCATCGTGACGTCACGTGAGATATCTCTATACTCAGACTGATGCTAATACTTGGACTGATGCTAATACTTGGACTGATGCTAATGTTCAGACTGATGCTAATACTCAGACTGATGCTAATACTCAGACTGATGCTAATACTCGGACTGATGCTAATACTCAGACTGATGCTAATACTCAGACTTATGCTAATACTCAGACTGATGCTAATGCTCAGAAACTGATGCTAATACTCAGAGACTGATGCTAATACTCAGAGACTGATGCTAATACTCAGACTGATGCTAATACTCAGACTTATGCTAATACTCAGACTGATGCTAATGCTCAGAAACTGATGCTAATACTCAGAGACTGATGCTAATACTCAGAGACTGATGCTAATACTCAGACTGATGCTAATACTCAGACTTATGCTAATACTCAGACTGATGCTAATGCTCAGAAACTGATGCTAATACTCAGAGACTGATGCTAATACTCAGACTGATGCTAATACTCAGACTGATGCTAATACTCAGACTGATGCTAATACTCAGACTGATGCTAATACTCAGACTGATGCTAATACTCAGACTGATGCTAATACTCAGAGACTGATGCTAATACTCAGACTGATGCTAATACTCAGACTGATGCTAATACTCAGAGAATGATACTAATACTCAGACTGATACTAATACTCAGACTGATGCTAATACTCAGACTGATGCTAATACTCAGACTGATGCTAATACTCAGACTTATGCTAATACTCAGGGAATGATGCTAATACTCAGACTGATACTAATACTCGGACTGATACTAATACTCAGACTGATGCTAATACTCAGGGAATGATACTAATACTCAGACTGATGCTAATACTCAGGGAATGATGCTAATACTCAGACTGATGCTAATAGTAAGAGAATGATACTAATACTCAGACTGATACTAATACTCAGACTGATACTAATGTGAGATTTCATAACACTTTTAAGCAACTTTTGTTCAAGTTAAACTCATCATTCTATCAATGTGCAGAAGCCAGTACTTTTCCCTTGTTTTGTCTATCTGAAGGCCAAGCTACATGGCACTGTGGCAGCTGCTGATTGGAGGTCTCCATGCCTCCGCTCTGTATAATACACTTGCATTCTGTTGTCCGTGTTGTTCGTGCTGTCTCTACCATCGACAATAAAACATGTCTTCTGTCTGAATGAAAGACGCGATCCCAGACTATGTCATCTTCTTCACTAATACTCAGACTGATGCTAATACTCAGACTGATGCTAATACTCAGACTGATGCTAATACTCAGACTGATGCTTATACTCAGCGAATGATGCTAATACTCAGACTGTTGCTAATACTCAGAGAATGATACTAATACTCAGACTGATACTAATACTCAGACTGTTGCTAATACTCAGACTGATGCTAATACTCAGACTGATGCTAATACTCAGACTGTTGCTAATACTCAGAGAATGATGCTAATACTCAGACTGATACTAATACTCAGACTGATGCTAATACTCAGACTGATACTAATACTCAGACTGTTGCTAATACTCAGACTGATGCTAATACTCAGACTGATGCTAATACTCAGACTGTTGCTAATACTCAGAGAATGATACTAATACTCAGACTGATACTAATACTCAGACTGTTGCTAATACTCAGACAATGATACTAATACTCAGACTGATACTAATACTCAGACTGTTGCTAATACTCAGACTGATGCTAATACTCAGACTGATGCTAATACTCAGACTGTTGCTAATACTCAGAGAATGATACTAATACTCAGACTGATACTAATACTCAGACTGTTGCTAATACTCAGACTGATGCTAATACTCAGACTGATGCTAATACTCAGACTGATGCTAATACTCAGACTGATGCTAATACTCAGACTGATGCTAATACTCAGAGAATGATACTAATACTCAGACTGATACTAATACTCAGACTGTTGCTAATACTCAGACAATGATACTAATACTCAGACTGATACTAATACTCAGACTGTTGCTAATACTCAGACTGATGCTAATACTCAGACTGATGCTAATACTCAGACTGATGCTAATACTCAGAGAATGATACTAATACTCAGACTGATACTAATACTCAGACTGTTGCTAATACTCAGACTGATGCTAATACTCAGACTGATGCTAATACTCAGACTGATGCTAATACTCAGACTGTTGCTAATACTCAGACTGATGCTAATACTCAGACTGATGCTAATACTCAGACTGTTGCTAACACTCAGACTGATGCTAATACTCAGGGACTGATGCTAATACTCAGACTGATGCTAATACTCAGAATGATACTAATACTCAGACTGATGCTAATACTCAGACTGATGCTAATACTCAGAGAATGATACTAATACTCAGACTGATACTAATACTCAGACTGATGCTAATACTCAGACTGATGCTAATACTCAGACCTATGCTAATACTCAGGGAATGATGCTAATACTCAGACTGATACTAATACTCAGACTGATGCTAATACTCAGACTGATGCTAATACTCAGACTGATGCTAATACTCAGGGAATGATGCTAATACTCAGACTGATGCTAATACTCAGGGAATGATGCTAATACTCAGACTGATGCTAATACTCAGAGAATGATACTAATACTCAGACTGATACTAATACTCAGACTGATGCTAATACTCAGACTGATGCTAATACTCAGACTTATGCTAATACTCAGGGAATGATGCTAATACTCAGACTGATACTAATACTCAGACTGATGCTAATACTCAGACTGATGCTAATACTCAGACTGATGCTAATACTCAGGGAATGATGCTAATACTCAGACTGATGCTAATACTCAGGGAATGATGCTAATACTCAGACTGATGCTAATACTCAGAGAATGATACTAATACTCAGACTGATGCTAATACTCAGACTGATACTAATACTCAGACTGATGCTAATACTCAGACTGATGCTAATACTCAGACTGATGCTAATACTCAGACTGATGCTAATACTCAGGGAATGATGCTAATACTCAGACTGATGCTAATACTCAGGGAATGATGCTAATACTCAGACTAATGCTAATACTCAGAGACTGATGCTAATACTCAGGGAATGATGCTAATACTCAGACTGATGCTAATACTCAGGGAATGATGCTAATACTCACAGACTGATGCTAATACTCAGAGACTGATACTAATACTCAGACTGATGCTAATACTCAGACTGTTGCTAATACTTTGACTGATGCTAATACTCAGACTGATGCTAATACTCAGACTGTTGCTAATACTCAGACTGATGCTAATACTCAGACTAATGCTAATACTCAGAGACTGATGCTAATACTCAGGGAATGATGCTAATACTCAGACTGATGCTAATACTCAGGGAATGATGCTAATACTCACAGACTGATGCTAATACTCAGAGACTGATACTAATACTCAGACTGATGCTAATACTCAGACTGTTGCTAATACTTTGACTGATGCTAATACTCAGACTGATGCTAATACTCAGACTGTTGCTAATACTCAGACTGATGCTAATACTCAGACTGATGCTAATACTCAGACTGATGCTAATACTCAGACTGATGCTAATACTCAGAGAATGATGCTAATACTCAGACTGATGCTAATACTCAGAGAATGATACTAATAATAATAATAATAATAATGCATCGGTTTTATATAGCGCTTTTCTGGACACTCAAAGACGCTTCACATGTGTCATTATTCATTCACTCCATACACGGTGGTGATAAACTACTGCTGTAGCCACAGCTGCCCTGGGGCACACTGACAGAAGCGAGGTAACCAGTATGCGCCATCGGCCCCTCCGACCACCACCAACCATTCACACACACACACCAGACTCATTCTAGGCAATGGGGGTGAAGTGTCTTGCCTAAGGACACAACGGCAGTTTGGCACTTTACAGCCGCAGCCGCCCCACTGTGGCTGGTGTTCCCAGAGGTTAAGTGTCTTGCCAAGGACACAACGACAGTAGTCAGAGGGAGTCGATGGTGAAAGTCTTGAGCGGGGCTTGAACCCACGACCTTCTGGCTCAAAGGCCAAAGCTCTACCAACTGAGCTACTGCCGCCCAGACTCAGACTGATGCTAATACTCAGAGAATGATACTAATACTCAGACTGATGCTAATACTCAGAGAATGATACTAATACTCAGACTGATACTAATACTCAGGGAATGATGCTAATACTCAGACGTTCAGAGCGTTTCATGGTCAGCCTCATTTTTACATGTGATCCAGATGAACACCTGGTATACCGGGCTCTGAGGTCTGTGCATTCATTTCTGGACCTGAAGAGACAGATCCTTCAGACCCAGAGGAGACAGGTCCTTCAGAACCAGAGGAGACAGGTCCTTCAGAACCAGAGGAGACAGGTCCTTCAGAACCAGAGGAGACAGATCCTTCAGAACCAGAGGAGACAGGTCATTCAGAACCAGAGGAGACAGGTCCTTCAGAACCAGAGGAGACAGATCCTTCAGAACCAGAGGACATAGATCCTTCAGAACCAGAGGAGACAGATCCTTCAGAATTAGAGGAGACAGATCCTTCAGAATTAGAGGACACAGGTCCTTCAGAACCAGAGGAGACAGATCCTTCAGAACCAGAGGAGACAGATCCTTCAGAACCAGAGGAGACAGATCCTTCAGAACCACCAGAGGACACAGATCCTTCAGAACCAGAGGACATAGATCCTTCAGAACCAGAGGACATAGATCCTTCAGAACCAGAGGAGACAGATCCTTCAGAATTAGAGGAGACAGATCCTTCAGAATTAGAGGACACAGGTCCTTCAGAACCAGAGGAGACAGATCCTTCAGAACCAGAGGAGACAGATCCTTCAGAACCAGAGGAGACAGATCCTTCAGAACCACCAGAGGACACAGATCCTTCAGAACCAGAGGACATAGATCCTTCAGAACCAGAGGAGACAGATCCTTCAGAACCAGAGGAGACAGGTCCTTCAGAACCAGAGGAGACAGGTCCTTCAGAACCAGAGGAGACAGGTCCTTCAGAACCAGAGGAGACAGATCCCTCAGAACCAGAGGAAACGGATCCCTCAGAACCAGAGGAGACAGATTGAGACTTTTACTTGGTTATGTTACAAGCAAGAAAATCTCCAGGCCTGATGCTAAAGCTAAACGAGCATATACTTGAGTTGATTCTGCTGCAAAAAAAACATCAGGCGAGTGGGTCCGAAATAAGCTTTTGTTTTTGTTTATGGTCTGCTTTCTCTGTATCGGTTTCCTGTTACCGTCATTTAAATTATTATAAAACATCTAAAACAAAGTATTCAACCAACAACAATAAGAACTCTTTATAAGTTTATCCTTTTTATAAATTGTAATCACTTATTCAAAGTTATGCATTATTACAGACATTATGCAAATGAGGAAAGCAGCAGCAGCAGCAGCAGTGTCCTGTTTGACTCCTCCTCCTGTGTACGGCATTGATGCACTAGTTTAGACCTGCTTTAGACCTGCTTTAGATCTGCCTTAGTCCTGGTTTAGTCCTAGTTTAGACCTGCTTTAGACCTTCTTTAGACCTGATTTAGTCCTACTGTAGACCTGCTTTAGACCTGCTTTAGTCCTACTTTAGACCTGCTTTAGACCTGCTTTAGTCCTACTTTAGACCTGCTTTAGACCTGCCTCAGTCCAGCTTTGGTCCTACTTTAGACCTGCTTTAGTCCTACTTTAGACCTGCTTTAGACCTGCTTTAGACCTGCCTCAGTCCTTCTTTAGACCTGCTTTAGTCCTGCTTTAGACCTGCTTTAGTCCTGCTTTAGACCTGCTTTAGTCCTGCTTTAGACCTGCTTTAGACCTGCTTCAGTTCTGGTCCAGACCCAGTTCAGTTTTAGACTCACAAATGGAACCAGTCCTTCTCGGAGCCGTTACGATCTTGGCGCTGCTTGAACAAGGTACCGACTTCATTCATCTTGTTTGGACCTGCTCACGTTACAACCGACCTGGAGATGTTTTTAGATCCATCCACGCTAATATCAGACACAAACTCATCCCCCCACCCCTTCTGTCTAAACGCTCTGTGTTCAAACTCATACTTACTTCTTTATTATTTGAAAGTGAGAGATGTTATACTTCTAAAATTATGTTAAAGACAGAGATTTTATTATATTTACAGAGTTATTGTTAATTTCTCTCGTGTGCTTCTCATTCCTGCTGTTCCGTAACTGGTGATGCAACATTGACATTTCCTCACTGTGGGACGAACAAAAGATTTCTCAATCTTGATCTTAGTCATTACACTGTGACAGTTGTAAAGCGCTTTTAACTCTGGTCTGTGAAAGGCGCTATAGAAATAAGGTTTACTCACTGACAAACCTGTGAGGTCATGGACAGAGCTTTTCATTTTCAATTATTATCATTATTAATATTTTTAACTGTTATTATTATCATTATCATCATTATTATTATTATCATTATTATCATCATCATTACTAATTTTAAATATTATTATTATTATTCTCGTTACAATTTTTATTATCATTATTATTATTTTTTATTATTTTTTTATCTTTATTATAATTATTACTAATATCGTTTTATCTTTTTATTACTATTATTGTTTTGTTTTTTGTATCTATTATCATTATTATTATTATTATTTCTAATAATTATCATTATCATCTTTATTATTATTATCATGTTGTATTATTATTATCTTTATTACTACTATTATTATTATCATTATTATCACGTTGTATTATTATTATCTTTATTACTACTATTTTTATTATCATTATTTTTATTATTAGAATTATTTTTTTTATTAGCATTATTTTTATTATTATTATTGTTATTACTATTATCTTTTTTTATCTTTTTTTTACTATTGTTGTTTTTTTAAATAATCTATTATCATTATTATTATTAGTATTAGTATTATTTTCATTATTATTATTATTATTATTATTATTATTATTATTCATTCATTCATTCATTTTCAGCCCCTTTATTAGTCCATTTCTGGGTCCCTCACTGATCCTTTGCAGGTGGTGGGTCTAGAGTAAGATGGCTTCTTGACGTTCTTTCAGCGGGGGTTTCAGGCAACGTGGGGTTAAGTGTCTTGCCCAAGGACACAACAACAGTAGACATTTGTAGGAGCAGTTGGAGTAGGTCAGCTGTAGCCTGTGGTAAAGCGGCAAAGACAATGTAAACAATACTGATCTAACATTTCCAACGTGTTCAAAAACATCTCCTGTTACTTCTTGTCACTTCATAATTCATGTGTAAATGAGACGATCTCCCCTTTAATAATACACGTTCAGAAGTTCTGAAGTGTTGGTACTGGTATTTAGTATAGTATTTATTAGTATTTAGTCTGTATGTATTTGATTCTAACGGCAGGACTTGTGTGCAGCGTACTTCTCTCTGCAGGTGATCTACGCCCGAAGGAAGTACTCTGTGTCCCCCCCCAATACCACAGGATCCCCAGAGTTTAACCGGGTCTACCGAGCCCAGTGAGTATCAGTACTGCTGCTACTATGGCCGCGGCGGCTATAGTACTGCTATTACTACTGCTAGTACTACTACTGCTAGTACTGCTATTACTACTGCTAGTAGTGTTATTACTACTGCTACTACTGCTACTACTACTGCTACTACTGTTATTACTACACAATCCCAGACTTTGGCTGATTCCTGACACTACTACTGCTATTACTACTACTGTTACTACTACTGTTACTACTGCTATTACTACTACCATTACTACTACTGTTACTACTACTGTAACTACTGCTGTTACTACTACTATAACTACTACTGTTACTTCTGCTATTACTACTACTATTACTACTATTATTACTGCTACTACTGATATTGTTGCCTGCTGCAGCCTTTCCATCCACAGCCTTTCAGTTAAAACCACAGGCCTTTTGAGTTTCCGTGTGTCTGAACTGGGCTTAAACAAATAATCTTGCCTTGACTACTGCTGCTACTGCTACTGCTGCTACTGCTACTGCTGCTACTGCTGCTGCTGCTACTGCTGCTGCTGCTGCTGCTGCTGCTGCTTCTGCTGCTGCTCCTGCTGCTGCTGCTCCTGCTGCTGCTGCTACTGCTACTGCTGCTACTGCTGCTGCTGCTCCTGCTGCTGCTGCTGCTGCTGTTTCTACTACTGCTACTACTACTATCACATTGTCCTCTGCCGCTCTCTGTTCTCTGTTCTGTCCTCTGGGAGGCGCTGCACACATTGTGTTTTATCTCTGACATAAAACACACAGCTGTTTATTGAACTTGTGACTGATTCTGTAGGATGTGCTTGTGTAATGACTGTAGGCCACAGTGGAACAGCCTTTGATCTCCTGTGGTTCATCTGAGCAACAACAATAAACTACTGCTGCTAACTTTCTGGTCATCAGCTCTGACACCAGGAGCCACAGCGGCAGCGGGCAGTGCCAAACTGTGGTTGTGTCCTTAGGCAAAACACTTCAACCACATTATCTTGTCTGAGTCTGGTGTGTGTGAGAATTGACTGATTCTGGTCATGAGTGTCGGCACAGACTGACTCACTTCTATCAGTCTGCCCCAGGGCAGCTGTGGATACAGTAGTTTATCACCACTGTGTACAGAGTGAATGAATAATAACAGTACTATATACATTTGATCTAAAGCTTACTACCGTAGTAGTAGTAGTAGTAGCAGTAGCAGTAGTAGTAGTAGTAGTAGTAGTAGTAGTAGCAGTAGTAGTAGTAGTAGTAGTAGTAGTAGTAGTAGTAGTAGTAGTAGTAGTAGTAGTAGTAGTAGTAGTAGTAGTAGTAGTAGTAGAAGTAGTAGTAGTAGTAGCAGTAGTAGTAGTAGTAGTAGTAGTAGTAGTAGTAGTAGTAGTAGTAGTAGTAGTAGTAGTAGTAGTAGTAGTAGTAGTAGTAGTAGTAGTAGTAGCAGTAGTAGTAGTAGTAGTAGTAGTAGTAGTTGCTGTTGTAGTTGTACTACTTTGTGTGTTTGTGATGCTGAATGTTGTGTGTTATTGTTTTCCAGAGCCAACTGCTCTGAATACTTCCCCTTGTTCATCACGGCCATGTGGATCGCAGGAATGTTTTTCAATGAAGGTACGCGTACGATAAAGCTGGGATACTTATCTTTATCTCTTATTCTTTGGTAAATTCTACTTCTGCCAGGGCCGTTGTCCATCCAGAAAGAGAGTAATCAAAGTGTGTAGCTACATTCTGTTCATAGGTTCACATTTGTACTTAGTGCAGAGGAGTCTGCGAGTCACTAAGTGTGTTTTTGAGCTGAGAGCTGATGCAGGGATAACCCTGATGCACCAGAGACACACACATGTATGTTACTAAATACTGATGACAGAGGAACAAAGGCACACTCCAACAAAGTTAATTCACTGTTAGAAAGAGGGGTCCTGAAACAAAACTATAAATAAATTATGTATTTATTTATATATTTGAATGGGACAGTGCATGTCAATGAACAGACACATTAAAAACATGAATGTAAACACGGCAGATTATAGCCAAAGGCTAATGTCCATCTGTAGTCCCATAGGGTCAGGGTCACAGCAGCTAGGGTCCTTGTTTTCAACACGAACAATAGAACTGTATGAAAACAACAGGATTACTGATGAGATGAAGACAGCAGGGAATGGTCTGATGTGTGTGTGTGTGTGTGTGTGTGTGTGCGTGCGCATGTGTGTGCGTGTGCGTGTGCGTGTGTGTACTCCCCAGGTCTATCATGTGTGGGTGGTGTTTTGTATCTGTTCGGCAGACTGCAGTACTTCTGGGGATACTCCACTTCTCCTCAGGGCCGGTATGTGTACTACTACTTAATGTACTACTGCTACTACTGATGCAACTAGTACTACTACCAGTACTAGTACTACCAGTACTACTACAAACCTGATCTCGTCAGATCTCAGGTCAGGTCCTGGTTAGTACTGTGATAATATTATACATGGACTGTAGAGTGGACTGACCATCATCATGTGGTTGCCTTGTGGTTGGTGATAAAAAACATTATTTTCAAAGCTGCTGTTACCAAATCTCCAGTTTCTATGACGTCCTATTTTGGATGATACAAAAATAATAAGATTTGACTTTTTTGAAGGAAGAAGTTGATTATAGAGCAAACTCAGTCATCGCTGGTAATCTTGAGCCAAATTCATAGGTGGCAACAACCTAGCAACCAAAGAGCCAATCAGTGCCCTGTTCCCACTTGCCTAATTTAGCGGAATTGGTGGCGGAAAGACAGTACTTGATTGGTCAGTTGTTTTGGATTTACAAAGACATTAGAACATGGGTCTGAGTAGTGCAGACGAGTGAAGGTTCTTTTGTTTCAATGTTTGGTGCAAATACATCTTCTCGAACCACTATCAGCGCCTCCAATTTTATTTGGTGCATTGACCTTCATCACATAAAACTCCATCACAGACTTTAACACTATATTTTCGTGTTGCTACTTTGCACGTGCTGTTGTTGCAGACTGGCTCCCTTGTACTTCTGTGCCAAGATTCTGTGGGCTCTGATTGGCTGCTCGGCTCTGGGCATCCTCCTGTCCTTCTCCAAACTGTACCTGGACACAGACCTGCTCCTGATCACCGCCGATGCCCTGGGATTCACACCCGGAAATACTCAATAACATTCAGTCTATTTCATGTTCATTCTTCTGTCTAAATGCTCTAATCTCTAACTTGTTGTTGCACTATCCTGACAATGTACATGTGATCCCTTCGACAGAGCCTTATTCTGATTTTTTATGCTGACTGTTTTAGTTCTTGTTCCTATTTTGGGTCTCATTCACACATAAAAGGAACTTGTTATGCACCAAAGTACATCTTAGACATGTTAGTGCCATATGAATAAACCCAGACTCTGGGTCCAGAGTCAGAACTAAACACGGGGAGGACAACATTTCAGATTCATTTATTTATTTATTTATGTATTATAGATTGCCCCTTGAGATTAATCATCTTTTTTTGAGGAGGTCCTCATTTATGCAGCTAAAATGTGAAACAGGTTTCTCCTCTGTTTACATTGTCAAATCCAGATTTTAAAAAGTTCTGTTTCGCTGCAATCATGGGGATTGTATCTTGATTGTATCTTTACTCTTTTTGATGAACTGCGATTATTTATGACTTTTATGCCTTGTGACTGTTTCTTACTTGTTTTGTTAAGCACTCGACTTGCCTTGTATATGAACTGTGCTATACAAAAACACTTGTCTTCCTTGTGTAAAGTGCCAGTCATTGAGTCCTTTCTCCTGCTCTCGGACAGGTTTTGTAAAGCGCTTAGTTGGATGCTCAAAGACGCTTTTTTCACTTCCTACACGGTGGTGATAAACTACTACTGTAGCCATACTAGCCACAGCTGCCCTAGCCTGACCTTAACCCTCAGTAAATTCCGGTCAATAATCATTTCCCTACATGTACCTTAGTACGAAATGTAATTTGTACGATGGTGTGGTACAACCAGGCTCAGCTGCCCTGGAGAACATGGACAGAAGTGAGGCAACCAGTACGTACCATCAGCCTCTCCAATTATCACCAACCACTCACACACTCCAGATTCATTCTAGACAATGTGGGCGAAGTGTCTTGTCTAAGGACACAATGATGGTTTGGCACTTTACAGCCATAGCCACCCCACTGTGGCACCACTGTTCCGGGAGGTCTCCCATCACGGTACTAACCTGCACAGCTTCAGAGGTCTTTTGGGATCCGGCTTTTGCATGCATGTGTGGCCACCACACTACATGTAGTGTAGTAAAATCCATGTTTTCAGGCAGATAAGTCAATTGGTAACTCACTCTATTACATTAATATCACAGTATCAGCTTTACCAAGAACCAATACACAATCCAAAAAATAAAATTAGAAAGTAATGGTATAGGGAGCATCCCCAGACAATGAAACCAAACTGCAAATATCCTTTATCCCCAATGAAGCTCTTTGTCCAGTAGAGGGAGCTGTTTCTCTTCGTCTTACCGCTCTAAGGACTGGGCTACATCCATAAAACACTTTAGTAACAGAGCTGCTCCAACTTTGGTCATGTTTAGTTTAGTTTATTCACAATTCGCACAGTCCCTAAAAGTACATGTGTTACATTGTGAAAATGGAACTCCCAGAAGCAGAAGCTTTTACATTAGGGGTCCATCACACCACCACCACCACCACCACCACCACAGTCACAAACCTACAGTCAATCATACAGTCATCATACAGTCTATCAATCATATCCAGTTTGGAGAAAAAATAATAATAATAATAATAATAAAAATAAAACATAAACATGTGTATATATATATAATATAAATAATAATTATAATAAATAATAATAAATGATAATAATAAAAAGTAAATAGTGCTCCCAGAATACATAATAATAATAATAATAATGACAATAAAGATAATAATCCTAAATCAATAACAATAATAGATAAATAAAGAATAAAAAATAATAACATCTTCACCACACTTCAAGGAAGTACAGGACACTTAGGCAGGCGAAGCTGCTGAATGCTCATCCCCGCTACCAATAATAATTATATAGTAATGATAAGAATAATATTTAATGTATTCCTAATATGTAGTTGTAAGTGTTTGCAGCTGGAGTTTACTGTAGGGTAACTTCTGCCAGCCCTGAGATCATGGCTGTGAAAGAGAGATCTACCTCACGCCTCAAACAGATACAAAATACAGAGTGGTTCAAGACTCTTAGGGCTTCAACGCTTTCATCCAGTCACATACTTCCCCAGTAGATGAGCCTTCAGTTCCCTCTTAAATTTGGATAATGTGGCACATTGCTTTAGGTTACTATCCAACTCATTCCATGTATTTGGGCCTTTGTGGCAAATACTAAAACTTGTGCATTTTAATTTTCTGTATTTCCCTTTAGGCAGCAGTTTGTTCCTAGTATTATATTGGTGTGATGGTAAATATAATGGAATGAGTTCACACAATCGAACATTTAACTTGTTAACCACCCTATACATTGTGCACGCATTATGGTAGAGATTAACTTCAGGCAACTTCAATAGACCATATCTATGGAAGAGAACATCTGTGGGAGCATGACCCAAGGACCAAGAAAGTGCTCTTATGGCTTTCTTTTGTAATATTTGAAGTTTAGGTATTATTCCATATGATATTACAGTAATTCAAATGCATTCATATCCAATGTAAAACATTGATTTTACTTTATTTTGAGCCAAACAAAATTATTACATTCTGCCACATGCACAAAGCACTGTACCCACTTAGGTACAAACAAAACAGAAGTTTGACACTTTACAGCCGCCCCTCTGACACTTGCTGTTCCCAGAGGTTTCCCATCAGAGAACTAACCAAGCCCTGCCCTGCTTATCTTCAGAAGTCTGATGGTGTCTGACTTTCACAAACCAGTGTTTGAAAACTACTGCTGTGAAAAGCAGATAAAAGTTGACTTTGTTGTCTCCATCACAAACACGGTCCTGAACCAAAGTCATTTGATGCGATAAATGTTCGCATCAGCAGACTGTAACGATGCCTTCAGGTGCAGCAGGAGAAGACTGTGTGTGTGCGCGTGTCTGTGTGTGTATGTGTGTGTGTGTGTGTGTGTGTGTGTGTGTGTGTGTGTGTTTGTGTATGTGTGTGTGTGTGTATCTGGGTGTTTGTGTATGTACGTGTGTGTGTGTGTAGGTGTGCCTGTAAGTGTGTTTGTGTGCGTGTAAGTGTGTGTGCTCTCCTCTCTCTAAATCATCATTTGGTTCAATAAAGAACGTTCTGTCCTTTGCAGGGAACACACACATTATGACTACATATCCCATGATGCACATGTGTTTGTGTTCTGGGAAGACAGGGCAGGATTGTATTTGATTGACTACATTTACAAAACTCTAGTAAACCCAGATCTCTCTCTTTGTACAATATATTTACATTTAAAGATACATGAAAAACCTGCGTGATAAAACAGTCCGTTTGTGGAAACTGGATGGAACCATTTCCACCTCGGACACTGGAGACAAGGCCAGCAGATGCATTTAAGAGCACAAAAGCCGGGCTTATGTTAGAAATTAAGTTTTGCTTTGCTGTCTTGTTTTCTTTTGTAACTAGTTCTCCATAAAAAAATCACAGTTCATTTATTTTATGCAACTTATACTGTATGTACAAGTTTTTGTACATACTCTGATTTTGTGATCTACTCTTTACTCTTTTCTCTGTCTACTGGACAAAGAAGTTGGAAAACATGCATTTTAATTCAAAGCTCTGTCATAAGTAGCATTCTGAAGACACATCAATATATTTATATACTTCATGTGGGATATAGAGGACAGAGGGGTACAGTTACAGGAGCAGTAGTATTGTAGTATTCAGAGGCCTGGTGTTGCAGTAAAAGTACAGTAGCAGTAGTACTGTAGTATTCAGAGGCCTGGTGTTGCAGTAAAAGTACAGTAGCAGTAGTATTGTAGTATTCAGAGGCCTGGTGTTGCAGTAAAAGTACAGTAGCAGTAGTATTGTAGTATTCAGAGGCCTGGTGTTGCAGTAAAAGTACAGTAGCAGTAGTATTGTAGTATTCAGAGGCCCGGTGTTGCAGTAAAAGTACAGTAGCAGTAGTATTGTAGTATTCAGAGGCCTGGTGTTGCAGTAGAAGTACAGTAGCAGTAGTACTGTAGTATTCAGAGGCCCGGTGTTGCAGTAAAAGTACAGTAGCAGTAGTATTGTAGTATTCAGAGGCCCAGTGTTGCAGTAGAAGTACAGTAGCAGTAGTACTGTAGTATTCAGCGGCCTGGTGTTGCAGTAGAAGTACAGTATCAGTAGTATTGTAGTATTCAGAGGCCTGGTGTTGCAGTAGAAGTACAGTAGCAGTAGTACTGTAGTATTCAGAGGCCCAGTGTTGCAGTAGAAGTACAGTAGCAGTAGTGTAGTACTTGGGGCCTGCAGTAGTACACAGCTCCCGCAGAAGTATGTAGGAGGACTATATTTAGAGCTGGAGCAGTTGTTGTTTGAAGTACTTTCCATGTACCACAGCAGCTGCTGTACTGCACCTGGGAGGCCCTCAGTCTGTGACATCACCAGAGTAAGGAAGGGACCCACTCATACCAAAGTAACTCATGTAATCTACTGGTACTCCTTTTTGAAGTAACACAGAAATGTCATTAGAACAGTAGCAATGTGTAAGATTTTCATGTGAAGTCATCATTAAAGAGCCCTAATCTGTCAAAAGGCATTAATAAAACATGCTCTTTTTCCAAAACTTCTTTATCAGAGATATTTGGATTTCAAAATCAGTTTTACAGCCCCTAAATCTTGATACTGTTTTCATTTCGATGTCCCGCCCTCCACCGTTTCACCAATCAGAAAGTCCATAATCCGGGCGCCAGAACTCACCGCGTCGAGCTAGTCTCACTGGTAAAGTACCATGTGGCGCAGAACTCGTTATGATTCTCAAATCATTCATGACGAAAGAAAGAATAAAACCAGGATTTCTATCTTTGTGAAAAAGGTGCTGGTTATAGATTTGTTGTTGACAAAACTCTTGTCTATTCTGTTATTATAGTCGGGGACAGTGGGACAGATTGCAGTACCACTTTTGGCCAGATTTGTACATACAGCTCCTTTAACTGATAACAGTAGTTCAGAGATATTTGGCTTTCAAAATTACTTTTACAGCCCCTAAATCTTGTTATTGTTTTCATTTCGATGTCCCGCCCTCCACCATTTTACCGTTTTATCAGAAAGTCTGTGATCCAGGTTGCCAGAACTCAGCAGCATTGGCCAGATTTTTACATACTGCTCCTTCATCTTTAAATGAAGTAACTATCACATATAGTGCAGCAGTTATTGCTCTATATTATTAACTATAGTATTAGTTTTATTTTAAAGCCACATTTCAGATATGAATCTTCTGTGTGTGTGTCCCTGGAAAATGATATGGAACATCTCAAAGGGCGATGCCTCCTGATATTTACACGTGTTAAAAGGAAACTAGTTACTCCCTCAGGACTAAACATGGAGAGGGCAGCATTTCAGATTCATGCAACTATAATCTGGAACAGTCTTCCTGAAATGTGAGACAGGCTTCTTCTCTGACAGTGTTTCAATCCAGATTCAAAACAGCTCTTCATCAGTTCATCATCTTCATTGAGCTCCGTTTACAGGTGGGAGGGGTTAACTCCTTTTGCAGATTGAAACAATTGGATCTGAGTTTCCTGTCATGTATGTAATGTTCCCGAGTGAGTCGTTAGCATTTAGCAATTAGCCTAGCTTTAGCCATCTCCTTTGCTGCTAACAGAGCCCGTGGGGAGTAGCGCCACAATCTTTGCAATTAATCATATTCGCTAAACATTCCTCTTGCTCCGGCTTCAATTTCTTGATAGAACCAGACGGGAATAGTTTACTATCGCATTCTCCGCCATTGCCAAACTACAACCTGTCCGTTCGGCGCAAACTCTTGACATCACCAACATCTAAACAACACCCGCCTCCTGCACTCACTGATTTGTCGGATGGAATTCAACCGATTATAAACACAAACACAGGGACCAGACCCAGACGTTACATGCAGTGAAATGATGATTGAGTGGAGTGTACGGATGGATAAGAACAGGCTACTACAAAAAAAGATAACAAGAGTAATGAGAGTCTGTGCTACTCTATGGCAGACGATCAGACGGATGGAGCTGTATATATTTCTTCCTTCCTCTTGCACGGTCATGACAAAGTGATGGACTATTTATAAATGACCCTCGCTCTGACAGACGTGTTGCCATTTGCACCGACAGACACTTTGCCCAAATCACTTTCTCACGGAGGACGTAGCGCCTTGCCCATGGACACAACAGAACACCATCTGCTACTCTGACGGGGGGCTGCTTCATGTGACAAAGTGTTCACAGCTTTGTTCAAAATATCTCACATTTTATCACCAGCGTACGTTAAAACATGCGTCAGGGGGAAAGAGAAGAACAGAAGCCAACCCAAATTTACGGGTCACTTCTGCTTTTGTGAATGTGGGTCCAAGTTATGAAAAATTGATGTACTGTTTTCATCTACCCTTTATAAATCTAATATCAAAGTTTGAAGCTGTCTTGGAAGCTACAGATCAGGTTTTTACAGCTACATAAGCAGCTTTCACTTTCACTATTAAGTATTCAGACGTTTTGCCTCATATGAGTCTGGTGTTAAGATAAGATATGCTTTATTTATCTCACAAAGGAGAAATTTACATGTCACGTTTGGCTTGGATAGACACTGAAGATTGTGCAGAAAGAAAGAAATGTGCAAACATGTTAAATGCAGGATATATTATGTATAATAAAAAAGTGGCAATTTAAAAGTGGCAATCAGAAACAGTGTCAATAGTAGTGCAGGTTTTTTTCAGTCTTAATGCAGTGACTTAAAGTGACTTATTGTACAGTCTGACAGCAGTGGGGATAAAGACCCTGCGGTAGCGCTCCTTCCTACACTGAGGGTGCCTCAGTCTTCCACTGAAGGAGCTCCTCAGCTCCTCTACAGTACTGTGCAGTGGGAGGTGTTGTTCATGATGGAGGTGGCTTTGACTAGCACCTCCTGTCCCTCACCTCCTCCACAGAGTCCAGGGAGCAGCCCAGAGTGGAGCTGGCCCTCCTGACCAGCTTGTTCAGTCTGCTTCTGTCCCTGTGTGTGTGCGTGTGTGTGTGTGTCCATATGATTCTGGTGTTTGGGTGAGTGTGTGTGTATGAACCAACTTCACTGGCCTCCTGCTGGGACCGTCAGGACCACAGGGACTTTCCTCCAGGCAGGGACTTTGCACAGGGAGCACAGGGACTGGCCTCCTGTTGGGACTCTGAGAAGCACAGGGACTGGCCTCCTGTTGGGACTCTGAGAAGCACAGGGACTGGCCTCCTGTTGGGACTCTGAGAAGCACAGGGACTGGCCTCCTGTTGGGACTCTGAGAAGCACAGGGACTGGCCTCCTGTTGGGACTCTGAGAAGCACAGGGTCTGACCGGAATAGTCAATTTGTCATGTTTACTATAGCTGCTGTACTGACCCCATGAGACCTTCACTCTTCTGCTCTATCTCTGCTGAACTAACAACGAAATAATCATTTTGTACAGTCTTGAGTGTGAGTGTGTATGTGTATGTGTGTGTATGTGTGTATGTGTGTATGTGTGTGTGTGTGTGTGTGAGTGTGTGAGTTTTAAATATAATTTTCCAGAGTCATAAGGCCCCATTTATTTACAGCTTTGAATTATTTGTACTTTTCACTTATTATCACCAGTGCAGTTCCTGTTTAGTCAGAGGAAGCACAAGTCTCCCTCTGGTCTGTACAGAAATTAAAAAAAGCTTTATAAGTGTGAAATTATGAAAGTATTCTAAAAGTATGGCAGGTTTAGATTTGACCTTTTTGGTTTGTGGGTACCATGGAAGCAAGATGTCTGAAGGGAGGTTTTTTAAAATGTAAGGAAAAACTAACAAGTTCCATGGTAGAGATTATTCTTTGGTTAGGACCAGCAGGATTTTACATGTGATTAAGGTTTGATTAAGATTAATCGTTCCACAGTGGGGAAAATTCAGTGCTGCAGTTACAGAACAGTAATAATAATAATGCATTTGTTTTATAAAGCGCTTTTCAGGACACTCAAAGATGCCTCACATGTCATTATACTTTCACTTCATAAACAGCGGGGGATACTGTACTGCTGTAGCCACAGCTGCCCTGGGGAACACTGACAGAAGCAAAGCAACCAGTATGTGCCATCGGCCCCTCCGACCACCACCCACCATTCAAACACGCACCAGACTTACTGTATTCTAGCTAATGTGGGTGAAGTGTCTTGCCTAAGGACACAACGACAGTTTGGCCCTCTACAGCTGCCCCACTGTGGTACCTGGTGTTCCCAGAGGTCTCCCATCCCAGTGCTAACCAGGCCCTTCCCTGCACAGCTTCAGACGTCAATAGGAATGAGAAGCACACAGCAAGAGGTAAGTGAATAGAAATCTCTAACTTAAAGCTGAATTAATTGACTTTGTGAAATTTTCAAATGTGAGCGCTGACCTCGCTCTTTCTGCTCCCCCTCCCCGCACTCACGGAGCTTTTGACCCCCACTACCCCCTTCCCCCTCAGCTGCACATGGGCTGTTTACGCTCGGGTCTCACAATATGTATCGCACATTTGAAAAGGGGATGGCGGGACCATAGAATGATAGAACCAGGAAGCGCGGAGGAACGAGACTTTCTTTTGGATGTTTCGCTGTGTAAGCAGAAACCGGTAGCTAAGACACGGGAAGTTTCAGGTTAGCCTCCGCCGCTTGTTTACCTCAGCTGTCTGTGATAACAAGAGACCTGTAGCTTTTCTCATGAACGCGGGGGCCAGTGGTCCGCTGTGATTGGTCACAATCTGGACCCGAAATAAATAATCTTCCTTGTTGCAGGAAAACTCGATCTAAAATAAAAGGACACGCCAGCACAAATCTGTGCCAGTTTTTCTTTTCTTCAAAAGGACGTATATCCCAATGCACTGCATGGATATGGATTGCCTTTTCGTAATGAATACAAAAATAAAGTCAGGTAATGCAGCTTTAAGCACAATAAAGAGCAAGTCGGAAATCTGTGGACCATATTAATTAGTTGCACTGCTCTCCTACTCTCTCCTTCTCCCATCTCTCTCCCCCTATCTTCTGCTCTCTCCTCCTCCCTTCTCATCCCTCCTTCTCTCCTTCTCCTCTCTCCTGCTCAGTGCGCTCGGTAATATTAGTTATCCTCAAACTTCTGTTCATCGTCCATTTGAAAGTTCAATACTGCCATCGTATCAAAGGGACCGCTGTACGAAAAGAAAGTTAGGTTCCCCAGCTTTAAAAATGGATGAGCCAAGCCACCCCCTTGGCCCCCCTCTCTGGCCCCTCTCTGGCCCCGCCTCCAGCGCTCTCCTTCCGCTGGAGCCTCGGTTCAAACTTGTCAAACAAAACCCCGTCAGTCACGCACCGAGCGGGCAGAGCAGCATCCGAGCCCGGGTACAACCTCCATCCACCTCCCGCTACCTCCGTCCATCCTCCAGGACCAGCGCCTGGAGCCTCCCCGCACACGGAACATGGGCTGCAGCCAGAGTAAAGTAAGTCAAGCTCCGCGAGACCAGAGCGGTGAGGCGGTCGAGCTGTAGCCGAGAAAGGTGCCTCTCGAGCGGGGACGCGGTTTGAATGCGGTCGCTGGGACAGAAAGCGTGGTTCGCGATGGCTTTTGTTGGTATATTTAAGCAAAAAGCGATGTTTTTCTGTCTGTTGGTGAAAATGCAGGGCGTTTGGTTGAGTTTGGTGAACTTGTTGTGTGCATTTTGCTGGAGCCCATCTGGTTTTGATTTGAGGTTTTGCTTTTTGGGCTCCTTTCCCACGACTCACACCTCTGTTGTGATCGCCTTTTATCGCTCTTATCTGACTTCCCGCAGATTGGGTTAAAACACCTAGAAACAATATCTGGAAAAGGATATAGGGCTGCACAATTTTGGTACAATGTCAAATCACATTTCTAGCCATGATTTAATATTCAAGTTATAATTCTTTGTTGAAGGTGGAAGACTGGTCAAAATAAGCTTGGGATAAAGCTAGAAAAGGAGATATTTCTCTTACAACACCCCCAGTATTCAACTTCATATGTTTGGCCTTTGTTACAACTTCATTACTTCATGATCAGCTTTTTTAGACTGAAAAGTGAAATCAACAACATCAGCTCTCACCCCAAGGCGTCAAGAAATGAGTCAGGGCTCTTCCTTATGAATGTATGCAAGGAAGACTTGTTTTTTGATGGTCTGGGTTCACAAAACTTTACCTTTACAAGACCCCTTCTGTTGAGACAAAATTGTGTATTGTTTGCTAATAAAGTTAGTCATTTGTTAATTTTCACAACATTTATAAATGTGTTTACCAGTTTTGTGTGTGGATTACTGAAGCATTGAAATTTAGAACCAAACCTTCCTTTTGTGTAATTATGAAATTTGCTTATTCTGACCTACAAAGATCATCTTAATGTAAAAGCACAGGACAGAACTATACAGAACTAAAATCATGAAAATCACAGTTGGGTATTCTACCTCAGCGCTCGCTCCAAACATGCTCAAGGTTTTCTCAGATGTTCAAGTTGGAGGAGTGATGAAATCGAGCAATAATAATACAAAACATACGCTGACAAGAACGGGTGCTAGCCTAAGCTCCGACCGGCTGCACAAAGTTATATGAACAGTGTGATTGCCCATTGTAAACGGCGCCACCAGGATTATTATTGGGCCTGGTGGGAGTGGCAGAGCAAACCCTTTTCCTTATGGTGCCTTGTATTTTTATGCAGGACTATACACTTGTAAACTTATGTGGTACTTTTCTTATATTCTCTTAGACCCGAGATGCCATTTCTCTTCCCTTGTTTTACACAACTTATTCATGAATCAAAAGAATGCTCCTGTGGTCTGAGCAGAGCCTGCAGGGCCTGATGTGAGCATGTATCGTCAAAGGGGCAGAGGGCAGAACGATATGGCAGGACTATAATACAGATGCGCGCCAACCAGAACCAAACAATTTTAAATTAGATACATTAAAAAAATGTTTGGGTCTGGGCAGACGGTGACAAAGGGTCAGGGAAAAGGTGGGACTCCAAGTGAAGCCTTTTGAGCTGATGTGCAAAGCGTCAAATTACTCCCACCGTAATAATTGCACTAATTTGCAGAGAACTGCATCATATTTGCAATCAAACCCGGAACAGTGACAAACCTGTATGCACAAACCTGAGCAGTGAGCCGCCCCTGAGCATCGATCTATAATAATAACTGGATAGGGTGTTATAGCTTATAGCTGTCCCACCCATGGGCACAGGGGGCGCCCGTGGTACTGCAGACTAAATTTACGCCCCTTTGTGCACGTGCATGAGAGCCACACACTGCGCAGAACCGGGAGGACCAGACGATGCCCAAATACGGGTGAGTTCCGTTAATTTCTCAGTCCCCGTGCCATGCTGTACTGAGCACAAGCCATTCATTTGAATAGAGTGCAATCTTGGATCACCGGGGCTTGCCCCCGAGAGGCACGGAGCCTCACTTGAGACGCACCGAGACACACGGCGCCGCCCATTACACTGTGAGGCATCATTTTGGGATTAAATACCTTTGATTGAATGATGCCTTTAATATTCCCACAGCGCACAGATACGAGTAGGAACCAACCGTGAAGAGTTTCTTCGTTGGAACTACAATAATAAACCTAATACAGCCCATACCACAATTTAGTATCGGGTATTTTTCTGTTTTCCAAATTGAGTCTATTTTACTGAATCGAAATTTAATCAAAAGAAACACATTAAAAGAAAGTCTTCTCTTATTGAATCGTAGAGTCATGGTAGCATAGCAGCCATTGGGTCATCGGCAGATTTTTCAAAAATGTCATATTATAATAGGCCCATTATTTTATATATAAAATATAAATAATATATTAGCCAAAATATTTACAAAGAAATAAAGAATGTTATAACTGCACTCTCTCTAATGTATTGCCAAACTGATAAGTCTTTCAATACAATACAAGTGTTATACTTGGCATGTTGTAATGATCTCTGCAGTCCAGTTTACACACCTGTTACTGTTTGTGTCACAACCTTAAGATCTCTGGAGATAGTTGCGTTTCGTCGTGCCACGATTAGTGCGGGATTAGCCCCTGTTTGCTTCTCATCGGCGCTCTCCAGGTATTAATCTATTACATAACCCGCTAAGCCCTCTGCGTTTAACTGCACCCATGCAACCTACGCCACCAGGCCACTTCTGGGGCCGGCTCGTCCAGTCCAGACGACAACATGAGGCGAGACAGAAGAATAGGGCATTTCATATCAGCAGAATGTGATGTCACACTTCTGCCACCAGGAGTTTAATTTGTGCTCATTTCTGATTCCAATAGTTTATTAGTAAATATTGTTTTCACAAAATATTTAAATTCAGTATCTTCAGTCTCAATGTTGCAATTTATGTTTTTGTCTGATCAGAATTAGTTTTTTTATCATGTTTTTTTAAATTATGCATTTTGTTAGCACACAAAAATAAGCAAAGCCAATCCCGATCACAATAACTGCCTCATAGTTTAGTTGGGATATATTCCGTTATATCATATTGTGATACGTATCGTATTGCCAGATACAAGGCATCGCACACTCCTGATATAATGCAAATTATTGTCCCTTGTGTGACTGTGTAGTTTAATGACTCGCAGCAGAGGCAGTTTGGAAAAGTGCACTGGGTTATTTGGTTGAAATGTTTTTTTTCACTTTGTCTGTTGGGAAGGTTTAGCCACAGCAGCATCAGCTGGTAGTTTTGGTAGTTACTAGTTGGTAGTAAACTTCAGTTTCATTTTTGTCTCGTGTGGTTATTCTGAGCTCCATACATAGTGCTAATTCATTTGTCTGTTGTGTTTTGCAGTTGCCTCAGTGCAAGACATAAAAATACTGCTCCCAGGTCACATGTTCAAGCAGCTGATTCAGGCCTGGTCACAATACCATGCTATCTATACACAGATACTAGGAAAAGGACATTTAAAAAGTATTGCATGCCACAATGTAATGAAGATCTGTCTATAACTAATAGACCTTTTAAACTGCGACTTATGGCGTTTCACAATTTAATTTAATGGAATCAGCAGGTTTAAAATAATTTGTCATCATCTGTCTTTTATATTATATCTCCCATTGAGTGAATTGATCCCAAGCGTGAGGATCAACCCTTAAGCGTTTGAAAGATTGATAGCTTTAAATGACCTTCTTAACCCTTCACAATCCTCAAGACGTATCAATTGCCTTTGAGCCCAATCCCAAACCTGACAAACTCCAGTGAGCTGCAGTTTGAAAACAGCTGGGTTTTGTTCGTAGGAGGTAGATGACAATATTTTCCACATTTCCAATGAGACCTGAATGACGACAAACATGGAAGAACTGCTTTATCCAAGTTTCCACATAAATGCGAAGGCCACATCAAGAGAATGTTCATTAAATCGCCACAGGAGTTGTCTGGAATCGTCTGGATTCTGTCTGCCTATCGCGCTTAGGGCCAAACTAAACTATGCCAAAAATGGCGTTGGAATCAAAATGTGCAAGATTGCCTTCTAACATTCACACATCGACGCTCAGTATTTTTGAAGACTTAAATGTACCCGGTCCACCACTTTGCTGATTAACTTTACCGGATAGCGTTAAAGCAGGGTTATTAAGCAGGATGATTTGGGGGAAAAAGGATCTCCATTTCCATCCATCCATCCATTTTCTTCCCCTTAATCCATTTCTGGGTCGGGGGGGTGGCAGTCAGAGCTGCACCCAGTACACTTAGCACCAGCCCCTCACTGATCCTCCTGCAGGTGGTGAGTCCGCAGGTGGTGAGTCCACAGGAGCTGAGATCTTTCAGTGGGAGCTTCAGGCAAAGTGGGGTTAAGTGTCTTGCCCAAGGACACAACGACAGTAGTCATCCATTTCCTAAACGTGATTTATGTCAATTACACAGTTGGTCGTGACAATTTTGCACTTAAAAATACCCCGTTGATTCAGAAACAACTAAACAAGCATCATTATCTTGCTGTTCCAAAGTTGTTGTGCAGTAAATTCCTTACTGTAAATGTTTTCTCAATCATTTATACTGAAAAGGCCCAAGCACTGTATAAAAGCTGAATGATATGATTGTATGTATTTCATATTGGGAGAATGGAGGTAAATACTGTGTGCACCTCTACTTTAGACTTCTCCATGCATCACACTTGTTAACACTCACCAAGGAGGGGCAATATTATACCATTTGCAGTATTACTGGTATAATTTTGCCTGTCCTAGTGCCTTCTGTAAACTCTGATAAAGGATCAATTCCTACATGTACGTCTGGGTCTGATCCTAGTGTCTGCAGTTCCCTCGGTTAAATCCCCTCCGACCAATCAGTGAGTGGGGGAGGCGGGTTTTGTAGGTTGGTGTCTGTGACGTCAAGAGTTTACGCCCGAATTGGCTGGTTGTAGTTTGGAAATGGCGGCGTTTGCGATAGTAAAGTAATCCTTCCTGGTTTGGCTCCAAGTTACCAATTTAAGCCGGAGCAAGAGGAATGCTGCAAAAATGTCG